TATATATATATATAAAAATACATACATACATACATACATACATACAAACAAACAAACAAACATACATACATACATACATACATACATACATACATACACATGTTTGTACATATACAAATACACACGAACAAAGAAACACACATACGGACAGACAGACAGACAGACATATAAGTGACATATACACACATACATGCACACTTGCAGAATAGTTGGGCGCTTACATGTTTGCTGCTTGTTTCCAGAGTGGGGTGCGCGCATTGTTTGTGGGCATACAGTGTTTGGTCTCGGGTACCTGCATGCGATGTAGCAGCAGGAACTTTTTTCCGCTGCTTCAACCCACAGCTCCAACTCGAGACCTGAACTTGCCCACTAAGAACCTGAAGCCCCATTTTCCCCTGAACTTGAACAGGGCTCCTACATCGTGCCGGAGGCCTGGCTGCGGAGTTGCCACATAACTGGGCTTCGTGTTGATCGGAGCTGTTCGTTTTGAACTCGAGGCTTGTTGCTTGGATGTAGGCTGAAAGCTTTGGCGAGGAGGCCTCGCATGAGCACACGAACTGCTGCAGACCAAAACCAAACCAGATCAATGCAGAAAACTTCTCTGTGAATAGAATGTAAGTTGTTCTTCATCTTCAACCTAGGGAAAGCTGTATTGCAGACAAGTTACAGACAAGCAGGCAAGAGCACAGGAAATAATCTATGCGCATAATACGAAAGCTCCGTAAGGGTGGCCCGGTACGGCCGGGACACCACACACGCTTGTCGATTGAGTTTTGGGTTTTGCTGTGCGACGTGTTCGCCATTTGTGATTGAACATGATGCGTTCTTTGTGTGAACTTCGGGTGGCATCACGAACCTCCCTTGAGCACGGCACTAAGTTCCGGTGAAACAGAACTTCACAACCCCTGTGCAGTTTCGTCCCGATCGCCAGGGTCCAGATGAGTTTCCTCTTTTACAGTCGGCCGATTTGGCGACGACGCCGAGCTGCAAGTCTTGATGCTTCAGGCCTTTGAGGTTTCAGTGCCTTCGTGACCCGCAGAGTGACAAGAGTGCAGTCGGGGGATTTGGAATTGCAACGAGTTCGGCAGAGAGGAAGGAACTGATAACTGAATGCGCAACCGTATTGCTTACCTACACAGAGTTCCAGGAAGTAAGGGTTTCGAGCATTTTCCCAGAGGCCTGGTAGACCTGACCAAGCTAGCTTGTGCCGAGCATCCTCGGGTCTGAAATCCTATTGTGGGCTGGGGTGCAAGGCTGCCGACATCTGACAGCCGTAAAACCCAGTAATGGGGCCTAAATTATTAGAACAGGGTTTTGGGGATTCCTTCTTACAATTATAGTATAATTGGCCTCAAAACCCTAGACTAATTTTTATTAAGGCCTCTATATTAGCGCCTAGAGCCGAAAGCTTCATCCCGCCACCGGACACGCTCAGCCCCCATGCCCCGGCAGACCAGCATTTGGATGATGAGGGCTGCGACCATAGTAAGTTGTGTGGTTGTTTGTTGGTTGAGGTGGTGACGACACTGACATTGGTCAGGAAGAGGATACTTGTTGATGGATACCATGTTTGTGGGTGCTAACGGTGCCAATGCAGCTGGTGATCGTGATATTGTTGTCGATGCACATACACATAGAAATATGTATACACCTGCACATGTCTATGCAGACAATTCTGTCTGCCTCGCTGATTTATGTATTACCCCTCCTTGCTGGACTCTTTGTCTGCAATTCTCGAGGTGCCTCTCCATGCTTCAGCGGCAGCACGACACAGTTCTGCACCTCCGATTTCATGAACCAGATTTCTGACTCAGAGCGAAGGATCAATCCTAAAGGGCTAAGCCCCAACAGCCAAGTTTTCACCGCCGAGCCACACGCCTTGCCCGCTTCTCTCCCGAAGCCCCTGTCTGCAACATGCTACTCTTCAGCTCGACGTCCTGAACCCTCACGCTTAAACTAGAAGCCCTTATAGAAGCCCTATAGTAACCTAACCCTAAACCCTAAACCCCTAAACCCTAAACCCTAAAAACCCAGGCACCGGCTGGATCTTCAGGATGACTTGCTCGAGCAACTGCTCTCCACGCCTGCTCGAAGCCATCCGCAACCTCACCTGACACGAGAAGCAGGGTCAGGCAGGGCTAGGGTTTACAGGGCTTAGGGCTCAGGATTTAGGATTTAGGCTCTAGGGTTCGGGTTATAATTTATAATAGGGTTTTGGGTTTGGAGAAGGCGCATTTGTCGTGGTTTCTAGGGAGGTTGACTGCAAATTCTCGTTGCAGTGGGGAAGGTTTCGCGTTTGGGATAGTTTAATCGGGTTTAATCTTGCTGATGTTATCGGTGATCCCTCTGTCTTATAGCAGATGTTGCAATGTCCAGACATGATTGCGCCGGGACTGATAGCATTTGTTGATTATGCAACGCTGGATGTTATGCCTGCAGCTTTTCCTCGAAAGATTGCCCGTACGTTTTCTTGTGGAACCAGACCGATTCAATTGATTCTATTGCTTGTCACGGCCTTGTAATTTCCTGTCGGAATGCTAAATAATCTTGGTTGAGTATACGCATTTAGCATTTCCGCTTCGCCTGTCTTTGCTGCACGATGAAAACTGGCAGGCAAGCTAAGCCGTGACCATCATGGCCACCACGACCACGACGACGACCACCACCACCACCACCACCACCACCACCACCGCAACCACCACAACCACCACAACCACAACTACCACCACCATCGTCAGCTGTTCTTTTGCACCTGTCTTCGTCATCAAGGTCGTGACCAGTGACCAGCAAGACAGCGATCACGAATGCAGCCATGATGAACGCGAGACCTGTGTCCATTCTGACGTCTATGCCATAACTGCTGCTGATGATGGTGATGGTGATGCTGATGGTGGTGATGAAGATGATAATTTTGATGGAGGACAACGTACACAGTTTGATCAGCACTGCTAAGCGTTATTCGCGTTGATCAGTGAAGATGGCGACGTGAATATCGCTTCAGCATGGCAATGCCACCGACGCCAGGGTCGAGCTCGCAAGCGACGAAGCAGCTTTCGCAACGATCAGATGCTGCAGCCATGGCCGCTTTCCTGTCATTGTAAGATAGGGGTCTGAGTACATGAGAAGAAGATCGCCTAAGTTTTCTTTCTCTCCATAGACTTGTGCTATGAGTACCTCTCCCCACTTAGAAGGACGAGCTGTTCGAAGTACCAGTTTTCGGACGGCCTGGTTACTAGGCTGGTGTAAGTTCAAGGGAGATTGGGTTTGTGGGCGGGGTTTCTTGGGAAAAGTGCCTACTGGTCCAAGTTCTATGTTCTTGGGCGAGAGTCTCGCTGTGGAGTGTGCAGGCCTTGGGCCTCACTAAAGAAGTCACGCACTGGAATTCCGAAAGTCTTGGGCACTAGGTGGTAGAAGTGGATGTAGCCATAGATGTAGTCTTTGCAGAGTATGAGTCTTATGTGTCGGTTTGGCAACTCTTAGGGGCAGTGCGGTTGTCCTCGTTTCTCTGCGCCAACGCCTTGTGGTATCTCAACTGGTAAAGTGACAAACGTTCACAAACAATACCCTCCTCCAAATTAGTGTTGGTTCCAAGAGACACCCTTTGGGAAAGACGCTGAAGAAGGGACCTTCCTCGAGGTTCCAGGATAGCTCAGGGATTGCTGCACACCCCCAAGGCGATCCTTCAAGGAGCCCCAAAAGCCAGGAAAGACGCTCGCCACCATCGTCACAGCCGGCTCCCACACAAAGCGGTGCTTTGAGCACTTTTCTGCGGCCTGTCCAGCTCTTCGAGGGTTTCACCTTAGGGGTCACTACTGCAGGGTGAGATGTACGGTGGACCGGCTAAAATTTGGTGGCCATCTTTAATATGCGCCAGCCGAGGTCTAGGCGTGTTGTGTTTCGTGTACCTTCTGAGAATACTAGTAAGGATCAATCTTACAGGGGGCCTCGGGTTTCGGTTTGGAGGGGAATGGAGCCTTTTTTGAGGCTTTTGCTAGGCCTGAGGCTTGTTTTTGGAGTGTGTTGGGTGTGTCCGTTCTCGGGGTTTCATGGTGGCAGTGGGCCTGAGGCGTGGTTTTTGGAGCCTATTCTCACATTTTAGCAGGCGCGAGGCTTGGTGTTGTACTGGGCCTGAGGTTTGGATAGGTTGGGTCTTTTAGGGTTGTGGTCCCTAGTGAAACCTCCCCCCAAGCCGTTGTAGGGCCTCGGGGTTCGACTTTTTGGGTTGTTGGCTTTGCACACTATGTCCGGAATCCTCGCATCCGAAGTCCTTTCCAGGTTGCTGAGCAACAGCCGTCTGCTTTCTCATAGACTTGGACGACTGAGGAATCAGATCTCCAGCTCCTTCGATCACGCGAGGTGGCTTGCATGGCTGTAGATATCGCGGTCAAGCAATCACGGTCTTTGGCACACTTGTTTGTTTAGGGTTGAGGGCATTCTGGCACCCGATGATAGCGATGTCCTGTCGTCTTGATTAGGGTCTTCGTCCCTTGCAATCCGCCAGTCTCGAGATTGGAGTTAACGAAACAGTACGGATCGTAAGAATGAAAGCATGCAAGTCATGCTCTCAGCATTATTCAACAATTATGAATTATTATGATTAGAGCAACATTAACATGCCCCCCTCGAAGCCTCCAAGCACAACATGCCAGTTGGTCGGGTTCAAGCCTTATAGACGCGCTCTCCACCCTGAGAAGAGCTCATCTTGCTTGGGCCTGATTTGCAAGTGTCGAGACTTCCCAAGCCCATCCGATTGACAGAAGCAAAGGCATCATTCCCGAACCATTACCATTTATCATTAACATGATGAGCGTTGTACTCTTCTTCTTACTATTCTGACCCGTTCCTCTTTGGGGGCATGGTATCTCATGCCCTTGAGTAGGTGCACCCCGACCAGGCATAGCACCCTGCACTCCAAACCTTTCAGGCCTCCTCAGTCAGGCGGTGGAACTCCCCTGCCGTCCCGGAGGTTTCTACCAAATCGACAGCACAGTTTGAAATGGGCTCCTGGTGTTTCAGTACTGGGAGTGAAGTTAGTCCGGAGGCGTGGCGACGGGACGGCCTCCCGCTCGACGTCGACGCGACCCAGGACTTTCCCATGCTTGTAGCTTTTGTCGGGTTTCGGAGGGAGCGACTAATTGCAGCAACAGCAGAGAGAGGAGCGATGGGTATCAATTGCGCAGAGATGTATCTTGAGGTTGAGGTTTCCGGGTTTGAGCTAGAAGCCATAAGTTTCGAACCTCTTCTTTGTTTCTTCGCAACGCGAGTTGCCAGCTTTGGTTTCAGTTCAGCTCACGAGTAAAAGGCTTGGTTTTCGGGATTTGGGGCGTTTCGGATCTTTAATGCTCTCAAACCCTAAAGCCTTAAATCCCATAAATCCGAAGACTTCAGTTTGTTTTTGGACGGGCGGGGTTTTGTCTTTGGTTCGCAAGCCAGCAGACCAGTCTTGATGGCAAGATGTTGCACTGCAAAACAAAAGATTATATAACAGGCCCTCGTAAGCCAAAGCCGTATGATAGAATTTAGGGTGTAGTGTAGGGTTTGCGGTTTAGGGTTTGTTGATTTAGGGTCTGAGTTGCAAACTTAAACTAGAGCCATCCGTCAAGAGCTGCTACCCGGATGGTTTTACAAGCGAAGACCCTCCAGCCTGTCATTCAAGCAGAAACGGGAGGGGTAAACTGTTGCTGCACTGCGCCATCCAGCAATAATGCCTGTGGTCGACGATCCAGGCACCAGTGCCCTGAAATAGTTGCAGTCGCATGCTGCCCCTGCCCTCCGGCCAGGCTCTTCAAAAGCTCTCCGGCTGAACGAGGAGGTGTATGCTTGTGCTTTGCATATAAGTCAGGCGACGTCAGCGAAAGTTTGTGAGGCCTTGGGGGCCCCTCTTCATGCCATGTAGCCCTGAACGGATCCGCGTGGAGACGCTTCGGTATCCAAGCATCGGATGATCACCCAGCCGCTATGCAAGACCGCCCAATTCCCTGTAAGCATCCCGCTGCGGTACTTGGCCTTGAACACAGCAGCGAATGTTTAAAGAACTCCTATAATCAGGAATGCCGTGACGCTTCCATTATACTGTGCCTGATACGCTGTCTGCATCCAGCCCGGAGCCTTTTCCACCTGAATCTGACAGGCTACAGATATAGGTATTTCAAAAAATAACTTGTGGTAATCCTGGAGATACCTCAAATCTTAATTATAAGGCGAGAAATGGAGCACAGATAGGAATGCAGGGGCTGCCGGAGATAGGAGAAAAAAGCAGCAACAAGGAAGCAATATAGGAGGCAACAACGGCGGAAAGGGGAGGAAGCCTGAAAATGTGGGGAGTTTGAAAGTTGGTTTTCCGGTGTAAACAGGTAAACGCTGGAAATAGAGACGAAGACTAGGACTATAGGAGATAAATCGAAGAAACATTGGAAATAGCCCGCAGTACCCAGTCTAAGCCCTTCATCCAAGGCTACACGAACCAAGAGCTGGAGAAGAAGAGAGAGGCTCACTCCGCGGACGCGAGCCGCTCCAGAGCCATGTTCTCACGCAGCTCGCTCCAAAAGCCTTTGGAGTGAGGGTTCAGCCTGCTGAAGTTGTAGGGTTAAATGTTTGGGTGTCAGGACCATAGGTGTTTAGATTTAGTTTGTGGCATCAAATTGAAGTTTTGGGCTCTGCTGCAGGGTCGATACCATCCTACGTTGAAGGAGGTGTCTGGTAACAATGGAGCAAAGCTGGGGTTCAGTCAGTCACTCAATCGGTCAGCCAGTCAGAAAATCATACTTGCATGTGTGGTTGTACGTGTGGATATGTTGATGTATGCAAGTACGTACACAAGCATGCAAGTGTGCATCTATGTATGTATGTATGTATGTATGTATGTATGTATGACAGTGTGTATGTATTTATGTTTGTTTGTACTCATGTATGTCCTTACATTGGCATGCTTCTAATCCCTGGGGGCGCTCCTTCGCGGTGCTCAGCAACCCATGGTGAAAAACCGTATTGCACACTAACTCGCAAGCTGAAGATGTGTTGAGGCTTGGAATGAAGCTAGCCAGTCACCACAAAGCTTTCCCTGCAGTACTTTGCACAAACCCGAAATGCCCTAAATGCCATCCAAATCCGTAAGGCAACAAGCAGCCTCTTAAAGCAGATTCTGGTGCGCGCTTTGTTGATCGACTAGCTCCTTGGCAACAGCAGAAGAATGTAGATGCAGATCGAAGAGTAGTTGGACATCTGTGCATCCTCGATAGAGATGGCGGCCCCAGATTTCCTGCAAGGAGGAAGCTGTTAGTAGCCTTGCAGTGACCGCCATCTTGTGCTGCTCGTTGAACATCAGTCGAATGACTTGGGCGACTTGGGGATGCAGATTCCCCCACCCAGACAGAAAGGTGTCATTGTTCTTTGTTTGCAACTTCCCTCGGGAGTTGTAATGCGACATCATCTTGACATGTTTTGAAGACTCCAGGCCCGGCGAAAGTCCTGACTTACTCAGCCGGTGCTCCAAAAAGTTCTATGTAGGTGCTGTGTGTCAGAAGTTCGCGGCTTCTCGCACGCCACAGATGCGAGGGTTGTGCAAATGCAGATGAGCAGAGGTCAGTCTTACTGCGTGGTTTCTTGCAGGTGGCATTTAAGAGGGCTGCTACCGCATGAGTTACAGACACACACACACACACGGTTCATGGAGCCGAGTGCTCGAGGGAAGTCGCCATGTTTGTTGGGGTCGCGACCTCGCCATCCAAGGTGGACCATCCAGCCTTCGACGTGTTCTTTGCTTGTGTAGTGCTGTTGAATTCGATATTGATTGGTGTAGACGTCGAGAACACTCTCTCCTGTCGAGACCAACCTGTTTGTGATGCTCGACCAGGATGGCTGCAGGCTACACAGATTTCATGCACTGTCTTGTTCGTGTTGGAGCTGGTCATCCGCGTGACAGCTAGTGGGATTCAGATCTTTTGCTCGGAAGACTGGCTTTGGATACTCCTGGATGTGCTCATTGTAGCCCTGTCGGTGTGGGAGATCGTTGTGGATATTGCCCTGCTTGTGGAGCCAGATCAGGAAGCCATGAACGAGGGTGTCAGTGGCATCGCCAGCTTAAAGGCATTCAGGATTATTCGACTTACCAGGATATTGAAAACGGCTCAGCTGATGCGGGTCTTCCGCTTCGTGATGGCGCTTCGAACTTTGGTCCAGTCGGTGTTGCATACACTGAAGGCCTTAATGTGGGCGCTTCTCCTGCTGTTGTTGATAGTCTATGCGCCTCGTGCGGCAAGAAGCCAAGTCCTCTTGCTAAGAAGCCTTTCTTCTTTTACCTGTCCACGGGTTTCTGTCTCTGGTCCAAACCTCCAATCATTGGGGCCTTCTGTTGCGAACTATCTTGATGAATGGTCCCTTCTTGTAGTTCATGGTGAGGAGCTTCATGTCTGTACCCAAACCTTCCAGAATCTCTTAGTTAGGTTAAAGAATAGCCCTTAAATTGCCAGGATCCCCAGTATGATGGAAGGTATATTCCTGAAATAAGAGATATTGGAAGGTGAGGGTAATTATGTGGCATTTCTGCATTCATGGCGCAGCGGCCCTTAACCCGGAACGCTCAAGGATGCACTGTGTGCGCTCACACTCGCGCAATCGTCAACAAGTTGCATGTAGGATTTATGCTAAGTGTTAGGTTGTTCTCCTCTGAATCCGCTCAAGTTGTCGAGCCTAAATTCTACATGCATATTCGATGATTGAGTCGCTCGCAGTCATGCTCTTCCCCCGCTGCGAGGTGTTCGCCGTTCTCTTCACGCAGGCAATTCATGACCACATTTACGTCGACATGCTTCCGATGCCGGCGGACGCGGAGGTGGCCAGCGATCGCTACTTTGGGTCCCTGCTAGATTCTATGCTCAGACACTTGCTTTGCCATGGAAGATTTTGCATTTGTGGTTTTCGGATGCTGTTTCATCCTGCTGCCAGCAGGTCTCTTTTCTGTGAAACGACAGGTCTGTTCATGAGCATTGCTGGGGGCGTGAGCTGGGAGGAGGTCCTTCTTCCTTTGCGACATGTCTCCTCGGCTTGGATCTGGACATTCTGCTTCATCTTCTATATCTCTTTCACGTATTTTGCCGTTTCTCGGCCACAAGAAGCTCTCTACAGAGGGCATCTTTGTGAGGGAACCTGTGATGCTCCGCTTCGAAGCTGCATGGTTCGATCGAGCAACCAAGGTATTGAACGTCGTCACAGCAGCCCTTCAGCTGGGTGTTGGCATCTGATTTCCCCGGTGTGGCTATCTGACTTGTTTTCTGCATGCACAGTGGACCCTGAACACGTAAGGTCTTCTGTCAGTCAGCTATCGAATCTGCACAGAACGATCACGCAACAGTGGTGCAAAATATGTTGGATAACAAGGACACTCTGTCACAATTGGTCGATTGCTCTTTTCTTGTCCAGCTGTCTAGGGCTCCACAGCTTTGCGGTTGGAAAGGTTTGATGGGCTGCCCTGTGAATGCAAAAAACCTAGCGGCCAGCGACTGCTGCGTCAGATGATGTCTTCCGCTCCCCCAGCAGCAGTGTACAATGTGCAGCGTATGATCGATGGAAGTTCAGTCAACAGCTGTACTAAGATGCCAAGTTTGGTCTGGCTGACTAGATGTTACGTTCAGTTGCTGGAGATTTTTAATCATAACTGTACGTGCTAGATGATGGTTGAAGCATCAGGGCATTTGGGGATGGGGAAAATTAGTAAATGCTCGCAGTCTTGTTCAGTGTGACTGCGAGTAGACCCAGCTCCAGCTCACGCACATAAGATGTTGATCGCTCTGTTCGAGTCGAGATGGCTTCGTAGCAACACCGTGGCTCGACATATGACTTGTATCGAAGCACTGGCTTGTTTAAGCATGCTGGAGCCAGTGGCATGCTCGAAGCAGCGTTCTGGCTTCACTCCGGCCACAGCATGGTTCGAATCATGCTACTTTCATTCACTCATTCCATGGAATCCCCGCCACCCATAACCGATCCGCCAATATCTCCTTCCTGAGCCTCCTTCCCTCTCTGTCCCTGCAGGAGTCTCACCTGAAGAAGTTGCGAGCACTCTTCAGCAAGTTCGACATTCAGCCACCAGTATGCAATGCTGCATGTTGCAAGCGAGAGGGCTATGCAGTCAAGTCAGCTACTGCATTGGACACAGTCGCGGCAGGGAGGGGGGTGTGTGGGGTTGAGGGCGAAGATTTTACAGACACGACGTCATCTGATGCGACAGCGACATAAAACACGAAGGGCCACAGCAAATGCAACAACGACAACACTCAGACCGACACCAACAGCAACCAAGGGGCAGCAAACAGCAGCCGTAAGGAATGCAGCCAATCCACATCAGCCACAGTCAGAGCAACGTCACCAACAGCATCAACGACAAGGGTTCAATACAGGAGGAGCCAAACAGTGATGCGAACGAAAAGGGAAACAACAGGTTTACAGCAGTATGTTCGCTGCCACTGTGTCCAGACTTGCTCCAACTCCGACATCTTCATCGGAGTTGCTCGTACCAGGCATAGGTCACGCACATCAACCACATGGTCGTCGCTGTGGTTCTTGCTTGGTTGTGCGTTGCAATCTGATGCGCGTTCTGTTGCTTCAGTCCCATTAATGCAGCATGCTTCTCCTCGCTTCATCTTCACTAGCGACGTTGGTGAGATTTTTTGAATCTTTCCGTGGGACACCTGTCATAGCTGTTGTCTGTTTGTGTGCCACGCTAGATGTTTCCGAGGGCAAATGGAGGCATTACTTATGGCATGTTCGAGGAGAAGCTCGATTCCCCGGCTGTTCGCGACTCGGAAGCCGTAAGTCTTTCTTGGGTTTCAATTTTGTTATAGTTTTGGACCTGAGCGAGTCTGTACAAACATAAAATGTTTTGATAAAAAATGAAAGCGTAGGCTAGCAGTTTAACATCAGTATACTAAAGCTGTGCCACAAGATGATATCGTATACGATCATGAGCTACAAGATACGTTGGCCTGCACGGTCAGGTGAGTACTTCGAGACGCTTGGGCTGGATGTGTGGGATGCCTGGTCCTGAGCTACTTGCTGCGTGCACTCTCTGCTATAACCTACATAGTACGAAAGTCTCCTGATAATACTATGCGATAACTTGCTATCGTATTTAAATACACACTCTAATTCTCTATGGTAGACTACTATGTGCGACATAAGTCTAGACAGTACTGTAGTGTACTGATGATGTATGAAGAAATTTTACGGAAATAGGTCTTTGTCTAGCATAGTGTACGACAGCACACCCTAAATTGCTAAAGTATGTTGTTATGTAGTGTAATCTGCCATATTACTCTAAATCCACAAGTTACACCACCATACTTAACCATGTACGACATAAGTCTACAGTATACTACAGTACACTTTAATCCATGTGCAGCAGCTCCCTTGTCTTGCTGAGCTAAGGCCTGGTCCTTCTTCAAGCTTCTCGATCAGGACGGTGGTGGCCTGGTGGAGATCGAAGAGTTTTTTATGGGGTGTTTGAGATTCAGCGGACATGCTCGGGCGATGGACGCTGCTCGGCTGCAATTATCGCCTGGACGCGCAAAACGTCCCAAGACTATCACCAACGGAGAGAGGACATGTTGGGTTTCAGTTGACTGAGCTTCCCGTGACAAGGTTGGCAAAATCATCCAAGATCAAGGCTGGATTATCCGAGCCTTGGCCCGAGAAGGAGTAGGGCACAAGAGTACTGATGGAGCAAGGTCTGCTGGGCAATCTGAGCAGATGCCGCCGATGTGTTCGAACTTGTGTTGACGACGACACGTAGTGTCACAGAGGTGACTGTCAAAATGGAGGATCCTACGTGTTCTACTCACAGAAGAAAAGGAACATCAACAACCACCGGCACACCAACCGTTTCAACATCATCTACGACGGCAACCGAAGCAGGACAAGCATATCAACAGCAACAACAACAACAACCACAACCAACATGAGCGACCACAGCATGAGTGGCAAGAGCGCATTTGCTAGTTGCATGTGGGCCCGTCGATGTCAGTGTACATATGCAAGCACGGTATATGACCGTGTACGGATGTGAGTCAGCCTCATTACCATATAACTGCATGCAGGAACGTCAGAAACATTTTGTAAAACAAATGCCCAAGCTCGTACGCGAGCATACGTTCATGTTCGGAAAACTGCACGGGGTGTACTGGTACAGTGCTATCCGGGGGGTCCATGCTGGTCGGTGCTGGGCCTTGTGATTGCAACACTCCAAAATCTATTGCCTCTTATATATGCATATCAACCGTTGTTTGTAGCAAGCACATACACAAACGGAGATCAATAAATGGATAAGCAAACGCGAAAACAGCTAGTTACATGTGTATGTATATACATTCATACTAAAGTTACTAAACACATCCACACATACAAACACGCAGACGGACAAACAAACAAACAAACAAGCGCACACTCACACACACATACACATACACATACACATACACATACACATACACATACACATACACATACACATACACATACACATACACATACACATACATACGTACATACGTACATACTCACATTACATTTCATTACATTACATCGCATTACATTACATTACATTACATTACAGTACAGTACACTACCGTACATTACGTTACATTACGTTACATTAAAACATACATACATACATACATACATACATACATACATACATACATACAGACATACACACAGACATACATGCATACATACATATATACATACAAATACACACATACACACACGTACACACACATACACACATACACACATACACACAGACATACATACATGTATACATACATACATGCATACATACATACATACATACAATCATACATACGATCAGGCAGACATACATATACGCGTACATGCATACAAACATGCATCTACACATACATTTACACATACATGCGGGCATGCTTGCATGCATGCATGCACGCATACTGGCTTACATAGTTACTTGCATGCTTACATAAAATACATAGATACATGTGCAAACGAGAAGGAGATGGAGAGTAATTCGCTGATGTCAAGAGACACTTGGGCTCCAAATTCGAAGCTACGCCTGACCTTACACCCTTGCGTCCTCAACCTCAGTGTTCAGGACTATCAACCCGACATGACTCAGCTGAAGCCTCTACCACATTTTTGTGTCCTACAGAATCAAAGACCTGTCTACCTTAAACTTGCACCGTCTCAGGAAATCAGGGGCGCTTTCACAGCTACGTTGAAGGCGAGCTGCACAAGCTCCACGAGCACATGAACTCGTTGGCCGTGCCACTCCTTTGCGTCATCACAGGGCATAGAGCTTGGTCTTTCTTTTCTTGGTCGGATTTTGGTTTAGGCTTAGTGATATAAGCTGCATACAGGCTAGCAGCAGTTCCCGAAACCAGCTATTTTGAGGTATCTGCCTGTTCACTGCGCAGAAGAGCAAGAATAGAAACCCCACGCCAGCTTTGGCAATGATCACCCGAAACCCGACTGGGTCTTTGTGTCTGGTGAGTCTCAGGTTCCTCGGCTCCATCTCACGGGGTGTCGCCTGCGAGCAGTTGTGAGGTGCAGGCTGGTGCATCTGAGGGTCTGGTTTCGGACTTAGCTTTTACGGACTTAGGTTTTACGGTGGAGGGCCTGGACCTCACAGTGTTGGAGGTACAGCGTATGCGAACCAGACCGAAGACGTCAGAGGTCCTTTTCTCTTGGGGACTTCCAATAATAAGAATAACAATGTAGAAAGTAGGATCCTGCCTGTTGGGTGTTTGCTAGTTCTACTATCGTTCAGACCCACCTATACAGCTCAGCAATAAAGTTGCCAGGTGTTACTGCGGTATCCAACCGCGCAGACGTACGAGTTTCGAGTGCCAAGATGCCCTAATGCAGTGATACAGGACTGTTGGTTCGACTGTTTCAGTGCCATAATATAGTTACCATGCAATATTGTTTCTCATAAGGTGCCTGGTCATATTTATGCTACAGCTTCCAGCAAAGCCCTATTCCAACTATTACAGCCCCTTTAGCACCCTGGCCTTGAAAGAACAGTTCAGGATCCTTGGAGATGTCTGTCTTTTTTCAGGGGCCTGTTGTTGTAGAGCAGGCATGGATTATTTCGCCTGAAAACGGCCCCTGAGGCTTCTGTGCCTTTGCCGTGTTGAAGATTGTGGGGGGTAAGTCTTGGGTGCCAAGCTGGGGCTTTCTGCCTTGCAGGTTGGCGCCCACATGAGCCAGCCTGCACTGATGCCGCATGAGGGTTATAGTAGTAGTATTCGCAACTGTCGCGAGGTTGGGAATATGTAGGTATCATACCAGTTCAGGTGCCCATAATCTTTGCAGTCCCGAGTGGTACGATGATCTGGAGTTTTGGGTCCAAGGCTTTGTGTGGCCGGCAACTTCCCAGCATGGTCTTCAAGGCTTGTGCAGGCACACATGAAATATGCCTCTCTTGAAAAAACAGCGCCGGCTTGTTCTGAAAGCAGGGTCCTGTTCCGAATTTCCTTGATATAGGAAACTCCGATCGTATGGTGGTGTCCTCATACTTATTTTACATGAATGAATATAAGACTGATTCCTGATAGCAGTACTGACAACATCTGGCATATAGCCGTAACAGTGCTGCTCGCACCCTGCTGGTGAACAAACCCCGCATACTCAGCCGACTCCGCGGAGTTGTCTCTACTCGTCTCACTTGGTTCACCACGGAGAAGTAGACAATAACGGCATGCTGCACATCCTGCACATCTTGTTGTGCAGTAGATGCTGCCGGTAGGCTTTCGGGGCCACTGCTGGCTCCCCTAAAGTGAGGAGACAGAAAAGAACGACTTGAATACTGTTGCATCAAGAGCAGCATAGACCGCGGCATCCTGCAGATAGCTGTCTCCTGCATATTACCGTAAGCGTATGGACTGCTAAGAAAGGCTTGAGGCTGAGACGGGGACATTTCCCGAGCCTTAGTTACCTTAGTTAGCTGCTTTGGGCATATCAAAGACCATAGTCATAGTCATGCCCAGTGTTGTGGAGTGTTGTCTTGGAATTCAGCAGGCACGGAGTCGTTTTGCTTCGAGCAGTCGGTTTTAACAGCCGTGCCTCTCTTATGTACATCTATCCGATGTAAGAGCGGGGTCGTTCTGTGCCGGGAAAGCTTGCAGTTCAGACATAAAGCCTGGCTCCTCAAGGCCCTCGCTTACGACGCCTAGCACCAATTGCTCCTTCCCAGCCTTCTCAAACTGAGAGCTGGGCAAAAAACATCTGCGTGCTGATCCTCCACCGGATGACTGTTTACAGTAGGGGCTCAGTGTCCGGAGCACTGGGAAGGCAACAGAAGGCCGCAGTACGACTTTCCCACTTTCGCATCAGACATGCTGAACCAGTCTATTATTCTTCGAGACAGCGCCCGGAAGGCTCCTCAAGCCCTGAGCTCACAAAATTCGGCCCAAAGACTCTGCAGAGCTTATATGAACTTGTGAATTCTATAGGCGGTGGGATGTAACACTCGGAGAACGCACTTCGGGGTGGATGGATCGCACGCTGTCGTGGAGGCGACTGAGTTCGGCCAAGGCACCAAAAAAGTGGCTGCCTCCTGACAAATCGTCTTCGTCCCTTTCCCTCCGTTGGGTGTGCGCGCTTCTCGGTAGATTATGCCTAACAGCTGTCAGATTGGAGACTGGCTCGAACTTGGTTCGTCTATCGGTGCATGTAGAGGGAGCAATGCTATAGCCCAAACAGTGAATAAGACCAAACCAACCATTCCAGGAGCACCCCAAAGTCTCCCAAGACCAGCCCATGAGGTCCAAACTGCACCCTGTGGCGGAAGCACGATTGAGCCCAAGCCTGCTATAGCCAGCGCCGTGCTGTGGCGGATGCGATGAGAGCACGATTTTGGTGACAGAAACATGAGCCCTCGCATGCGCGCGACACTGCGGTGGGAGCACGATTTCCGGAGGCCAATGGCTTCTTTCGGAAGATCTTTCGACATACTCTTGAACGGCGGCATTTCAAGAGCACACCTAGGAGCCACAAAGAGTCGACAAGTGCGGTTTCAACGACTTCGAGCGATTTCAAGGCCAAAAGCTTCAAGGCCAACAGGGGAAAGCGATTGATGAGCACGAATGCCACCCCAAGATATGGACGGTACTGCTGTGGGAGAGCGGTTCACCGAGCTAGTAAGTGCAACTGAAGCGGGTGTCCTAGGCGGACGGGGCCCAAGCGGAGTGAGGAAAGAACGCGCTTTTAGTCGAAATTGTGCATCGCAGCACAGCCGTAAAACCCCCCGCGGTTACCGCACTGTTGATGCCAGTTTGCTCCAGTTTGTTGCGTTGCAGCATTCGTCCAGAATCTGTTCTTTGGAAGAGGCCCATAAACCTGTCGGATCGAACCGCCAGGCTGGGCACACGACGAGGCCAATTGTGCCGTATCTTCCGCAATAGACGCTCTTGTCCAGCTTTGGTGTACACAGATTTGTGGCATGAATGTGTGTAGGTGTAGCATTCAGACTTGAGTCAGGTTGTTCGAGTTTCGGGTCTGGATATTCGCAATGCTTGAGAAATATGAAACTCTGAATCCGTCCAGTGGCGTTCAAGCGATCTGCGGGATCTCCTGCGACACTGTCAACACAGCTTTCAGTGTTTCTTTCGTGGTATGGGATTTCCGGCTTGAGTAGTGGAGTGTCGTCTGCGGCACATGCTGCCTTTCACTCCTCCATAAAGTCATAAAGACGGGCTTCCTTCAAGCCGGCAGAATCACAATTGCAGGACTCCTATCTGGTTCGCATTCTGCCAGGGCAGGCCTGTCTTAGTTGCCAGATGTGCTTGCATTAAGCTGTGGGCCCTCATGGAGTGGAGTAGGGGTCGAGGTCGAGGTGCAGGCCTGTGAAGAAGCTCCCCAACATCTTCTCCGATGCTGCCTGAACTGCCCAAGCCTCAAGCAATAAACGGCTTCGAAGCCAGACTACCGCAGGGGAATGTTCGCACGGATACTCTTCTACATTTGCTTCTCTCGCACTCGGGTTGGAAGGCGTTTGCAGGCAGGGGTTACGTGGAGCAAGCCGAAATAGCTGGAATAAGCCTTCATTCATAGTGACTAGCCTTAGGCGAGAGCATGGGCACGGTCAAAACACTCAAACCCTGATATATTCGATCGTTCGCTTCAGATTCGTTGCGGAAGTTTACAGTCTTCCTCAATCCCAACCTTGTGCCAGATAGCTTCTTCCTGGATCCCGTTACTTAGTTACAGCCCCGCGCTCTTTTTCAGCACCCCTTTGTAGCTAGCCACAGGAGGGAAGACAACCGACGGGCATCTGGCCTCTCTGTCCACATGTTGACTGCACAATGTTTCGTACCGTGGCTCAAGCTGCAGTTTAGCTCCCTCTGCCCTCTCTGTGGTCGAGGATCCGAGCTATTCAAGGTGGGGCGGGAGGAGGGGTCCATGCCTGGGCCATCCAACGGTGGCGGACCGTGGCTTCCATGACCTCCCCTTTTAGAAACGCTTTCGCTCGTCGCTGTTTCTGAAGTGACAGCGCTGCGTGTTCTCATGGTGTCTACGCACGTCAAGGTGATGACGAAGATGATGGTGACGAGGATGATGCTGCTGATGATGATGACGGTGTTGGTTCCTATGTTTTCTCTTTTAGCCGTGAGCTCTTTGCAATTGCAGACTGCACACTGCTGTCCAGTATGAACCTTCAGCACTTGCTCGCTAGAAGACAGTCATGCATGTTACAAATACATAGGCCGCAGGCGCTGTCTGGGAATAGTTGCATGTTGCACCAGTTCGGTGGACCAGATACAAAAACTACACACTAATCAGTACATACTCCTTGTATCTGTGCTGACAGCAGTCTTTACATTGTGTCTCATAGTCAGAACGTTCCTTGCCACTTGACATGTGTGTATGTGTATGTATATATATATATATGTGTATGTATATGTGTGTCGCGGGAGGGAGCAGCTTGTCAACTGAGACAGCACAGGCCCACACTTGCTTTACCGCCTACCTGAACTCCCCTTGTACTGCCACTTGGCCGCCAGCTGCCCCGAATCATTCTACTGCAGCGATCTGGTGATGCTCTCTGCTTAGCAGCAGCCAATGCTGGTTTAGGGTTCATGGTTTAGGGTTTTAGGGTTCGGGGTTTAGGGTTCAGGGTTTAGGGTTCGGAGCCCAGGTAGTTGGGTGCCAACTCCGCTTTCGTTATGCATTGAGAACTCCCCTGGACGGTGTGCAGGCAAAGATGGTCGTCCATCTTGCAAGAATCAGTAGTGCTTCTACTTACTGCATGAAATTCTTCTTATGTTGTGGAGGATTTCCATGGTGCATCGCAGTCTTCCCGAGCAATACTCTGTGAACGGTACAAGTGTAGCAGATAAATCTTGTGTGCCTTCGTATAGTATACGGGGATCTTGCCCAGGTGATTGTAGCTCTCTTACTCGTGTCATTTTCCACTATTGCCAATTAACATTGGTGCTGATACCAGTAATCAGAGAATGACGACGTGCAGATAAGCTCCTGAGGTATTGCTGTGAAGTTGCCAAGTGCCCAGAGGTTTCAGAAATTCATGGTGTGCTGCTGT